GGGCTCTGCCTAATAGTCGCGGGCACTGCACAGCGGCTCCCCCCGACAGCCGGAGTGGGGTGAGCCAGGGCGGCACAGCACATGTGCCCAGGCTTTCTCCACTGTCTCTAGGGCCCGCGTCTGGTCGGTAAACGGCTCAATGGCCACAACACGCCCAGAACAGTGAGTACCGGACGGTGCCTACGTGGATGACAAAGGCCCACTCCGGGACCGCACAGAGCTCCCGGGGGCATCCGCAGCGCAGGGACGTGACACCTCCCAGGAGGCTCCGTCCGGGCGTCTGGAGCTCCCAGGCCCGGCGCGGGGGGCGGCCCCGGCAGAGGCCCTCCGCCCTCACCTGCCCAGGACTGTCCACCTGGGCCCCAAGCAGCGAGGAGGCGGCACAGGCGTTTCAGGAGCCCCGACACCAGGGCGTGGGTCGGTGGGAGGCATTCCACAGGGTGAACAAGTCCCGTGCTCGGGAACACCACTCTGAACTTTTATAGCACAAAGAACTGCAGAATTCCTTGTAAAACGATCTCTGCACGTCTTTTTAACCGGATGGAAGCTGAGCTGAGCCCTAGGGGGAGCGCCCGTGTCGCCCAACTGCAGGGAGTCCCGGCCTCCAAGCCCTCCAGGAATCCGGGCGAGGACAGGGAGACGCGCAGGTGTCAGTAGGTGTGCACAAGAGCGCAGGTGTGGTGACAGCGCCCGTTCCCGCACCTCGAGCTGCGGGAGCGGGCGGCCGTCAGGGACGCCGCGTCCGGAGGACACCACTGTCTCTCAATGAAGCCGCCTCGCCGGCTCCTCTGGCAGTTCCCCGGGGGTGGTCGGGGCTGGGGTGGGGGTGGGGGGGTCCCGGTGTGAGGGGAGGGGCCGGGACGCCCACCTCCCACGGCCCCGCCCCTGCCCGGCGCAAGCGCAGCCCCGCCAATCCCGGCGTACCCCGCGCCCGACCTCTCCGCGAAACGCCGCGCGCCCCCGGCCGCTGATTGGCTGTGGCTACGGCGGGGGCGGGCCCAAGCAGAGGGCGGTGGATTCAAGATGGCGGCGGCCAAGGGGCGGCTTCCAGCCCAGTCGGCGGGAAGGGCAAGAGTGCGGCGGTAGCGGTCCCCTCCTGGCCGCGTCCGCTCCTGGCAGGGGGCGGTGGCAGGCACCGGAGCCCGCCCTGTGGAGCCCACGCCGGGACAGCGAGGGGGAGGAGGCGCTGCCGTTTACCTTCGCTCTCCCGGCCTCCACTTTTCTGCGCCGCTGCTCTTGCTCATCTTCTTCCATCTTACTCCGGGGCTCTTCGCAGGTCGCGGGGAGGTGAAGGGGCCGATGCGCTGCCGCCTTCGCTCTATTTACACTCCCTCCCCATCGCCTGGGCTCACCCTCCCCCCGCGACAACTGTCACGCAGACGTGGGCCCGCCCCGCGTTCGGCCCCGCCCCGGGGCGTGCGGCCCCGCCCCGGGGCGTGCACCCCCGGCCTGCGGCCAATCAGGGGCCGCGGTCCTGCCCTCGCGCACGCGCGTTCAGGGCGGTGCCCTCAAGGAGGCGCGGCCCGGCGGAGCTCCGCCCCTGCGTCCGTTCCTCCGATTGGCGCATAGACGCTCCCGCCTCTTCGGGCAGGACCATTGAGCGGGGCGCGGCAGCCTCGGCGCTCTCTGTGGTTGGTCGGTTTGAAGGACCCCGCGCACGTGGGTCGTCGGGCCCGGCTGGGACTGGCGCGGAGGCCGGTTCGCGTTCCCGCGAGGTTGAGGCCGCCCTGGGGGGAGTCTGCGCCGGTGTCCAGTTGAGTCAAGCTTCGCGAGTCTCCGGGGACAGCCCAGGAGGCCGGGCCCCACTGCATGCGTGCGCCAGCTCAGGGCTGCCCCTAAAATCGCTCCGGGTTGTGGCCGTGCCCGGGGGTGGCAGAACCCAAACTTTCGTCTCCAGGGGTCCTTTCGGCGACCGGGATGGTGGCCCTGTTCGTGTCACGATCGCAGACAGCCAGCAAAATCACTTGATTCCGTTCCTAGGAGTCCCTTCTTTGGGTCCCGCTGGTGCCTGGACCCACAGAACCGGAATGCCGGGGGCGGCCAGAGTTAGTCAGTGGGAATCGGGGCCGGCATCCCCAACCCACGGAGCCCAGAGCTACAGGGACAGGAAGCCACCGGCGGTGCTCCCACTCCTGGACCCATGGATTCTTCCCACTGGGGATACAGTGCCATATCGAGGGCTCTGGTTTAATGCGTCTGCCCCCAGCTTGCACAGTCAAGGGTCCAGTCTGGCACCGCTGCCATAAAGCAGAGCCCTGCGTCAAAGAGTGTTGGCAGGGACCCCATGCAGTGAGAAACTCTGAGAGAGGGTCAGGATGAGGCCCTGCGGGCAGGAAAGGCAAACCCACACCCGGAATACAAGTGTATTCCTGTTAGGACAACCCCTGGAACCCCAGCGTGGAAGGGGCTCCATAGGCCCAACTTGCCAAGAGGCCTGTAAGGATGCAATTTTAAATGATACAGTAATTGTACGCAGTTCTAGATCACCAGAGGGAGAGAGCTGTTTCAGTGAAAGGCAAAAAAGTCTCTTCTCACATGGAAAAGTTTTAAGGCCTTGAAACGTTTGGGTAAATCAATCCAAGTATATTGTAAATGGTTATTAAAAAGGAATGCGCTGTACTTCCTGTTCAAATTTCCGTGAAGCTCAAAAAGATAGTCTGTTAAAAATTTTTTTAAAAAGAAAGAGAATGTGATGTGGGTTATGAATTAATGGTCCGTGTGGGAATTGGAGTCTCATGAAATCATTGTTTGTTCCTTAGCTTCAGACTCCACTTAAGCCTGTTTGTCCGGATAAGGAAGTAAGGCGAGGTTTTTATTCCTAGCCCACGGTTTTGATTAACAATCAAATGCTGCTACAGTTATCAGGCTCACTGGAAGCTGATAAGCTCTGACTAACTGACACTGATCCGAAGCGTGTTGTTGGCACCTCTTGTTACTGTAGCGTAAATGTGCCTGGGTGAGCGTTCCCTCGCGGAGGGTGGGGTGGGGGGATGCTCTCACCAACTGGTGATGGTTACCTAAATGGCGGGGGGGTCGCAAACTCAGGAAGAAACACAGGAAACCCCTAAGCAGCTGTGCCTCGGTTTCCCTGTGTGAGAAGTGAGCACACCCACAAACTTGCCCCCGCGTCAGATTTGGCCGGGGTAGAGCTGGGTAGGGTGACAGCGCTGCAAGCGGCAGCTGGAGAAAAGGTGGCGTATCAAGCAGCGCTGCTGCGGGTTAACTGCGGGGCTGTCCGGCGAACACGCTGCGGGTTTCTGTGTTTCCTTCACTCCTGTGCCTTCAATGCAGTAAGGTCTGTGTGCGGGCCGTGTGCCCCCTGTCTGCTCTCTGAGACTGAGTGCCAGTAACTATGCTCCTCCACGAACGTGCTGTAGTGACTTTACTGACACAAGCTCACCTTTCAACCTGTGTGAACATGTGAGTCTAAGCAACCGCAACTTACACGAATCTTCAGGGAGCCCTGGGAATTCAACCACCTCCTGTGTCAGACCATAGCCCTCTGTGTGGTGAGTGATGCTTGCAGTCTTGGCTCACAGACACGAGGCGGTGGCCTCGTAAGGCCAGGGGTAGGCGGGCAACACTAGCAGACCACAGGATCGGATTTCCCAGGAGCAGTCAGAGACTCAGATCTATGCCTGACTCTCTCAACCTTTACATGTTGCAGTACATCTAAAACTTTGTGGGGGGCCCACGTGTTTGCCCACGGTGCTTTGGCCAGTGGTTTTCAAACTGTGTTCCGAGGAACCCCAGAATCATTTCCATGGCTATTCTAGATATTCTGAAATGTTGGATCTGACTCTTAACTTATTTTTAACAATTAAACAGCTGTCCAGATATGTAGATACTCACCTTCAAGGAGGGAAACACAACCCCCCACTCCTTATGTATGGGCTGTGCATAGCTACTTCCTCCTGAAGAAGACAGTGTGGAAAGGGAGAGAGAAATAGTAGCTGTGCAGTGGTGAAACCTGATAGACACACGTCCACGAGGTAACTAAGGTCAACATCCACAGTGTAGGTCATGTTGACGGCACACACCCTGGATGGGACGTGATGAGAAGGGCCTTTTGCCTCTGTGGTCTTCCTCCCAAAAACCCACAACCCCAGTCCAATTGTGAGAAATCATCAAGCAAATCCCAATAGTAGAGGGACACCCTACAAAATGCCCGATACAGTAGGTATTGATACAATATAAAACAAAATACAATACTACTCCTCAAAACTGCCCTTCCTGGGAAGCATTGAAATGAAGCATCATTTAGAAAAGTCTTCCCTCCCATCACACCCCCTCCCCATGCCAGCCCTGTGGACATGCCCTCTGCTGGGCAGGTGGGTCACCCACCGATGGTCCGCCTCCCAGGTGCCCCTGCCCCTCAGGCACTAGAAACCCCTGCCCCTCTCTGGGCATGGGTCCCGGCTGGGCAGTCCCCCTGCTGGAATCACATCCACCCTGAGGGGTGGTGCCTCGGGATGGCCCCGTGTCCTCTGAGGTGCCAGCTGGGTGCCTGTGGGGTGAGCCCACCTTGAGCTCCCACCCAGAAGCCCCCAGGCACCTCGTTGGCCAGCTCCCTGGTGCCACGCAGAGTTTCCTGAAGTCTGCAGGGAGGTGGTGGTCACACCCTGTCTTCCAGTGTTCTGGCCTTTACTCCCGTCTGGCTGGGAGGATCCCTAGGAAAGGCCAGGGGCTTGCTGGCCTCCTGGAGGCCATAACGGACTGAGGGCAGGGGTGGCAGGCCCCCGTGGTGCGTGGGGGGTGGATGCCATGCCCCTCCCCACCCCATCCTCTGGGCTCTGTCCTCCCCGCCAGGGCTGCACTCTACCCCTCGGGCCCCAGCTGCTGCCCACTTTTTCCTTCCCAAGGAGCCCCGCCTGGCCGCACCTGGGGATCAGCAGTGTTTACTGGTAACCCCTGCATGGGGACAGGCGGGGCCTGGGAAGGACTCTCAGTGGAAACCTGGCAACTGGGCCTCGCCATGTCTGCGGCTCCTAGCAACCACCATGGCAATGCCCGACGCTGTGAGTCCAGGGCGTGTGCCCCCCACACACACGCTCTTCTCTGGCCGTAGAGGCCAGAAGGCAAACCGAGCCCGGCGTGGGATTCTTCCAGTGACCCCAGGGCTGGGCTGCTTCTCTCCGGCTGAGCGGTTCTTCCAGAGGGAACTGGGACGGGGAGGGGTGGGCCCGTGGCGTCCCCTCCTGTGGCCCCGGGAAGCTGGACTTCTCAGTGGCAGATCGGTTGACCCGGCTGACCCTGAAACTCCTGGAGGAGGTAAGACAGCTGGGCACTCGTGTTTTTAACAGCTGTTACAGAAGCACAGCTTTGAAAGGTAAGATTATACGTGTAACGAGCCCACTTCCAAAGCAAAATGCTTTTCAGCGGCTTCAGCCTCGTAGTGAAGAGCTGCGGTTCCTTGGCTTTTCTTCTTTGTGTTTGTACAGAAGCAAGTAGGTTCTCCTGGCAGTTTCTGCAGCCGGGAGGCAGGCCTGCACCCACGGGCTGGAGCACCGCCAGGGCGCCCTGATTCTCTCCTTCGGGGCCTCCCAGCTTCTGAGTTTCAGGGCGCGGCGTCTCGGCCGGGCCTGGGGTGGGCGGCCGGTGGACGCCCTCAGGCCGGCCCCCTTCTCCTCCTCCGAGGGTCTGCGGGGTCCTCACGGCTCCCCCCACCTCACCTGCCTGCTCTGTCCCTCTGCCCCCGACAGCTGCCCAGAGCGGCAGCAGGGTTCACCCCAGAACTGACCCCGACAGTAGCTGCTCAGCCCAGGGCTCAGTGGGGCAGTCGGGTGGTCAGGACACAGAGCCGGCCTGGTCAGGCTCTTCAGATAGCCTCCTGCAAGGGCCTGTGGGTTTCAAGGTGGAATGTGTGTGCATTGTATGGAGAGTGTGGCCTCAGGGTCCCACCTGGCTCCCTGCCCTGCAGCCCCCTCACACGCTTCCTGCTCCCAGCCCGTCTGTCTGGGCGCTGGTGCCCGGCTGGCCCCCCACACTGAGCCCGCGCCTGGAGCACTGTCCTCGCTCTACTCTCTTCTCCTCACAGAAGCTGAAGCAAGAGCGCGAGGATGTGGAAGTGGATTCTGAGGACCCCCAGCTCACGCCCGGTAAGAGCCCCGGGCTGCCTGACGCTGCGCAGGCCCCGGAGCAACCTACACACACACACACACACACACACACACACACACACACACACACACACAC